AGATCTTGCTCCTTCAGACTACCATTTGTTTCGTAGCTTACAGAATCATTTGGAAGAAACAGCTTTTGTAACACAGGAAGAGGTTAAAACTAACATTTATGAGTTCTTCGAATCAAAACCAAATTTTTTTTACAGTAATGGAATTAGTAAGCTTGTTAATAGATGGAAGGAAGTCATAGATAATCAGGGAAAATACATTGTTGATTGAATTTGTAATTCAATGTAACATTTGGTCACTTGTTTTCTTTATTCAAAATTCTGACAGAACTTATGGGATGACCTGATATATATATATATATATATATATATATATATATATATATATATATATATATATATATATATATATATATATTGCGTATATTTAAGTAGCAATTTTTCATTGATGTATGTTTCATTAAATAATATGGACAAGTTTTGTCTATTTTAAGTACGTTAAGTACTGATAAGCTTAATAACATTATCATTGAAAGACGAAAGGAAATCACCATATTGATACATGTTTAAATCCAATCTAAGCTTACGGGTTACATAAGCTATATATATGTGTGTGTGCGTGTGTGTGTGTGTGTGTGTGCGTGTGTGTGTGTGTGTGTGTGTACCATAATTGCCGCCCTGTTGGAGACGGATTTCCCCCCAAAACTATCCTGCGTTCGATACAGGAGTATCATGTATGATAGGGACATGAAAACCACGGAAAAAGGTAGGTTTCACCTGGAATCAATGAACGTATAGAGCTTAGACTCGATAACTAGGCCTCCTGAAAGTGAACAAACATGATATCAATAAAAATATTCTGAGAATTCACCGTGGAAAAATAAATTTATGGAATTGTCCAATATTTTGCTGCTTGTTCTGTGGAAATACCAGATTTTACAGAAATATTTGCTTTGACGGGTATATTGCTGCTGCCTTTGTGCATGTTTTTGTTGATATCCAGGTATTGGGATTTGCTTTTCTGCATATATGGTACGGGACTTCATTTACAAACAGGTACCATATATCTTTTTTTTCCTCTTACCATATGTAACAGTGTTCACTGAAACCAGTAGATTACTTTGTAGATGTTGTGAATTTACTGTATGTGCAGATGTTACTCTCTGACAAACAACTGAAGAAATTTTCAATAAATGCAGGATTATGGTACTAAAATGCTTTTCCAAAAATGCTATGACAAAGTTTACCTTATTTCTAAAAAAAAAAAAAAAGTCTTTTTTGAGGTGGGTTTGTGATATGTGCATTTTTTCTTAAATATTGAATGGCAAAATCTGGATGTGTGTAACAGACTCGCAAATACTGTACACACACACGCCCGTGCGCGCGCACACACACATATTTGTGTCTGTCCGTATATATATATATATATATATATATATATATATATATATATATATACACACACACACTCCGTATGCCATCGAAGATAATTAATTTTTAATTACATTCCATGAACCTCTGCTATGTGGAACCTTTTCCAAGAGGATGTTTACCGGGTCAGTACAATCTTAACTTGTTCAAGACTATCGCACAAATTGCCTCTTAAAGTATCCGTCTACCTCGAGTGACTCCCGGGTCTTTTAAAGAGTGAACCTTACTGTAAAAAAAAAGAATATATATATATATATATATATATATATATATATATATATGTGTGTGTGTGTGTGTGTGTGTGTGTGTATATATATGTACAAACACACAGATATATATATATATATATATATATATATATATATATATATATATATATATATATGTGTGTGTGTATATATATATATATATATATATATATATATATATATATATATATATATATATATATATATATCAGGAGGCACAGTGGAATAGCGGCTCACATTGAAGAATCGGTGAGCCGAGTTCGAATTCCAGTCGAATCCATTACATTCATTTATGTCCTAATACCCTTGGGAAAGGTATGAATCCTCTTCTTCTTCTCTCACCCCCAACAGGACAGACTGGGTTCTATAGCCTTGGATGGCATCTGATCTAGGAGAAAAACAACTCTTAATTCAAAATCTGGTTGGTTCTGCACAAAGCCTTCACCACTTTAACCAAATCATATGGCTGTCGGTTCCTAGGAACTGAATTGCTTGAACCTTTTAATCCTCATATGTCGAAGAAATGTTCACCATCAATGGGGATATTCTGTTATGATGACTTGAAGGCATATAATTCTGTTGCCAATATTCCGTTCTCCCACGTGGTACGACGTCATAGAACCACATCATATATTTACGACCTGCGTCTGCTTTTCCGTGACGCTTACCATCGCATAGCAAACTTCTATGTTAACATAACAGAATGTCATCTTTGATAGTGGGTATCTTTGATTAAACGTCCATATAATCCCCTCTGAAGATGGCCGAAAGCTTAGATCCACAAACAGCATAATAAAAAAATATCCCAATGTTAGACAAAAGAGGTTTTCTATTGCAAAGGGACATGCATGATACAAAAGATACATGATAAAATCATTTGGTGAGTTAAAAACTTTGGATTAATGAGCATCACACGAGTACATATATGTATATAAATCCTGTGAGCCCGAATATATATATATATATATATATATATATATATATATATATATATATATATATTTAAATTGTGTATATTTAGGTATCAATTTTTCATTGATGCATGTTTCATTGAAGCTATATGCATAAAACAGTTGAAACCTAAACTGAACAAAATAAACAACGAAATCTCTAGAAATATTCTTAAATGCCTATAATTGATAACAGAAGCTATTGGTTTATACAGCTTCCCATACTTAATACTTCTCGTTTTCACTCTCGCGTGGTCATGTGTGACGTCACGAGCTGTGACGCGAATTTTCGCTTCCGCGTTTCGTATACATGTATTTGTCGTTGCTTT